GATAAAACGTCTTGAATATTTGGAGAATATCTTTGGTTGAGGTTGCTATGTTCCCTTTAGCGTCTTTTATGGAAGATACTCGTCTAGTGGAGATTTGCGATTTAATCTTCCATGCTAAAAGTTTTAACGATTTTGGATGGCGATACCAGTATTTCTGTTTAATATACAGTAATTGTTTTTGAATTTTGGTGGTTTCCAGGGACTCTAATTTATTTCTTTCCGTTAAAAGAAGTTTATAAAATTTTTTAGAGCCAGTTTTTTTATGCTTCTCTTCTAAAGATTTTATTTTGGTGAGTATCTCCTCCATTAATTTATTTTTTGTTTTGTTGTAGTAGGATGAAAGGGAGATCATCTTTCCCCGTATGACGGCTTTCATCGCATCCCAGACAGTAGATGTCGGAACGCCACAATCCTTATTAAAGTCAAAAAATTCTTTCAGTGATTTTGCAATTTCCTGACAAGCTAATTGATTGAATAAAAGATTTTTATTAAGAGACCAAGAAGTTGGACCTCTTTTTTCTTTTGACAGAAGTATTTGACAATCAATCCAGGCATGATCAGACAACGTCCTAAGGCCAATATCGGAAGATGTGACTCGATTAATTAAAGATGGTGAAAGTAAAATATAATCTATTCTTGTGAATACATTATGAACTGGCGAAAAAAATGAATAATCCTTTCTGCCAGGGTGTTGTAGTCTCCAAACGTCGCATAAATTATATTTATCCATGAGGTTTTGTAGATTGGATTTCTTATCTTTACTTGTTTTGAGGAATGAGCTGGGGGAGTACGATCTATCCCACTGAGGGTCAGAAATGCAATTTAGATCCCCCCTGATCAAAGTATGGCCTTCTCTAAATTTGTCAAGGAGTAATAGCGTGTCTTGTAAAAATTTGTCTTGGCCTGAATTTGGTGCGTAGATTGCCCCAAACGTCCAGATCTCATTATTGAGGTCACCTTTTAAGAATAAATAACGACCTATGGGATCTATTTGCTGGGAGTGACATCGAAATTGTATCCTGTTAGAAAAAAGAATGGCTACCCCTCGAGAAGAGGAGGGACCAGGGGCCTGGAACTGGGAGCTGAACCATTTTGATTTAAAAATAGGAGTGTTTGATTTTCTAATATGAGTCTCCTGCAGAAATGTAATATCAGAGTGTAAAATACCTTTAAATACTTAAATGCTTTGAATGTTTTTAAAATTGAACTTTTATGGTTTTAACTGATTTTATAATGTACTGAATTAACTTGTTGTAAACTGCCCTGAGCCCCACAGAAGCGGGGAAGGGCAGTCAAGAAATCTAAATAAATAAATAAATAAATAATTGAAAACCACTGTGAAATTTCAGCTAATACAGAATACAGCTGATTGTCGGTCAGAACCCTGAAGTAAAAGCATATTAGTACAATGTTGAAACCGCTTCACTTGGTTGCCTATATTTGGTTATTAAAATATTTGTATCCTGCCTTTCCTCTTGGCTTACAGGTAACAGTTAAAACATCATAGCTTAAAATCAAATTAAAAAATTAAACCCCAAAAGATGCTTGCTGTACGTATCAAAAGCCAACAAAAGCCTTGCAGATGCTCCTGAAGATCTCCAACTTAGGGGGCTCCCTCGCCTCTTGACAGAGCCGTGATGAAAAAGACCCAGGCTCTGGTTGATGCCAGGGGAGACACCCTGAGTGGGGAACAGCCAGCATGTGGCAACTCAGAACACCACAGCCCGGTGCACAGCAACAAAAGTAAGGCGATGGTCCTTCAGATCTATGGAGTCCAGCCTGTGAAGGGCTTTAGAAGCCATAACCAGCACTTTGAATCAGCCTTGGAAACAAATGGCAGCCAAGGGAGCCGCTATGTTCTCACAGGCTGGCCCCTGACAATAATTTGGATGCGGCATTCCGAACCAGCTTTAGGTTGTATTCGAGGGCAGCCCAACACAGAGCACACTACAGTAATCCAACCACAAGGTTACAAAAGCGTGGATTATCATGGCTAGATGGGCTAAGGGACAGCAGAGTTGGCAAACCAGATGCAGCAGATAGAACATGCTCTTGGCCACTATGCCAACCCATTTTTCAAATGGCAAGGCTGGGTCCGTGAGCACCCAGAAGCTCTTAACCTACTTTGTAAATGCCAAATTCCACCCATAATAATATAATTAGGCACTGAGTCCCATATCATTCAATCCTCTCCTAGAACTCTTCTGAAACTTTTATGTTTGAAATGAAATGGCACAAACAGGCAACATTCACAAACAACACATAGAACTATATATCTAATCAACAGCAGCATTTTCCCCCAAAGAACACCTTGTTAGAGCTGCACAGATGCCACTAACAGAGCTAATAAACAAAGCTCTGCTATTTCCATACCCATTCAAAAGACAGATCCAAAGGCACAGGAAAGAAGCAAATCAGTGTGTACCCAGTGAGAAGAACAAATTACAGAGCCACCTTCCTAAAGGTTCATAAAAAGAGTGACTACTTAAGCCCTAGTAATAAAAGCCTTCACATCAGGTGCACACATTGCAAAAGCCAAACTGAAGCATCCATTTCCTTGCACCAGGGTTTTCTATTCAAACTGGCACTATTTTAGTCACATTAAGCAATTAAATACATTTTCTGCTCTATATAAACTGAGCACTGTTTTACTTCTGCTTGCCTGAGCTGACAAATTGCCTTGTTCCGGCGTCAAGAGCGCTCACTCGCACGTGGTAAAAACACAAGACAGCAGCAATTTAACCAGAAATGGTGAGTTAAATAGGTTTTGTGCCTGTCCTCACCTTTCCAGCACCCCAACTGACTTGCTCTGAACACACATTTTGATAGCCTGCAACTTTTGTGTCAAATACAGACAAATTATGTACCACAGCTCTACAGATTCCCCTTGAGGCACTTTTCTGTAGCTTGACTGCTTCCCTGAGGGGGGAAAACAGATTTCCAGCTCTTGCAAATGCCAAGCTACATTTGAATAGATGACAGCAATATTATATGCATTCCACTTTCCTCCCGGAAGCTCAGGAAAGAATACATGGCAGTACCCGCATTTTATCCCATGAAGGAGGTCGGAAAGAGGCAGGAACTAGCCCAGGGTCAGCCAAAGGAGCTTCAGGACTGAGTGGGGATTTGAATCTCAGTCTCCATGGACCCTAGTCCATCTACTACACTACACTAGTGCACAACCCATATATTGAGTGAAACCTTGGGGGGAGGGGGTTTGAAAAGTGCAAATTCAGTGTTCTATATCAGATTCACTGCCCTGCTGCAAACGTCTTCGCATATTTCAGATGCTCCCAGGTAGGCAAAGCTATTAACTGGGACACACTTTTAAGGAGCAAATTTTGTGCAATGTTTAAAGACCTGGAGTAGTTTCCAGTTTATTTCTAGGTACAAGTCTTCAGTCCTAATGTACCTTGAAGGTCCACCTTACACCATACAAACGTGCCTGACAGAAGACGTCATCAGAGCCCCTCCACCAGGCCAGATAAGATTGCTGGCTTCTGAAGGGAGGCAGGAGCCTGCTAGAGGAAAGGCATTTTTCCCTGGTTGCTCCCCACTCCCCTACTAAAAGATGTTTGCCTGGTGTCACTGCCAGCGTTCCCTCTAAGCTGAGTTAGTGTGAGCTAGCTCAGTTTTTTAGCCTCCGGCCCACACAGTTTTATCTTAGCTCAGGAAGGATGGCTCCAGAGCAAACTAATTTATGCAGTAGCCAAATCGCTCACACACAACTTTAATGCCAGTAGCTCACAAAGTAGAATTATTGCTCACAAGACTCCACAGCTTAGAGGGAGCACTGGTCACTGCTGCTACCTTTAGACACCAACTGAAGTCTTGTTCTGCTTGTTTAAGTTTTTGGTTCGTAAAATCTGGGGGTTTTATGCCCCCACCCATTTGCACTGTGATTTGTTTAATCTCTATGCCACTATATTACTGGGATTACTTCATGCTGCTTTAATCAGTATTTTATTAGTTCTATTATTAGTATTTTGTTTTTATCATCACAGTAAACCACTTTAGACAGAAACATGGCATGTACATTTTTAAAGCCAAATAAACAATAAATAAATCAAACGGGTTGGACACCAGGACTTCACTCCACTAACCGCAGAGTGCCCCTCCAAGCTCTCCGGATGCTAGAGGCTCTTTTACTGTTGGAAGAAAAGCACTGCCATTAGCATAACTGATCATGGCATCCAATTCCATGCCTCCTGTACCCATTTCAAGAAGAAGCGGTAGATTCAACTCACTTTTGCAATTCGTTATGCCAGAATAAAGTTAGGCATAACAGGTGTCGAACACCCAGAAGATGAAGCCTGCCATCCAGAATATTCCTACTAATGATTTGCAAATTGCATTACTTATGTAACCGAAACCCAAATTAGCTACAACCCCTCAGCTGGCGGTATATTTCCAACACACCAGGACAAGTTGGCCTCCCTCATTTAAAGAGTTGAAGAAATGGGAGTTCCACTCCCCACCAAAATGCAACATTTGATTCAATAAGGCAAAAAAAAAAAAATGAAGTCAGAAAGTGCTCATTTGTACAAAAGGAAACTTTGACACTTGGTCGATTGAACAAGGAATTCCGGATTGCTCAAGATACAGCCAGGAGCTTTTGCTACTGTTCTAACTCGCCTCCTCTGCATTCCATTCCAAAAGAAAGAACAAGCACAGACATCAGAGCACTTCATGTTGTGTATCTGCCCTTACTGACAAGAGGGGGTGGTTTATCCCATCAGTACAGTTGTTCCGTTCTCTATCGTCCACTCTGACACCTCAGTAGGGATCATTCCAGCACTGCAGGTCATCAGAGAAGTGGAATGCCATATTGTCAGAGTAAACCACTGCTGTACAGAAAGCGTGGCTGAATGCACAATTTGTTTTCCCAAGACCTCTGAAGAGACTAGTTAAAAACAACAGCAGCAGCAGCAGCAACTGAAACAGGCAACTCTTTTTATCTAGAGACCTCCAGGGAGAAAGAAGGAACAATTTACACTGACCGTTAACGATGCTATTCCTTTGTGGTAGGATTTTAGAGACTCAGCAATGCATGAAAGTGCTGAGCTGCAATCGTCCTCTTGCAGCCCAGTCAGGCACTGCTCCGCATGGGAGAACTCCTTCAGACTGTTCAGCCAGAAGTAGAAGTGCTCGGAAGCCACCTGAGTCAGCAAACTTTGGTAGAGCTCCCTGGCCATGCCATGATTACCCTGCAGAGGACAACAGGAGATGGACATGGACAGAGACAGGAAGAAAAAGTGTTAAGATCTCTGTGTTTAAAAATAATACAACAGTGGACAGCAGCACATCTCCCTCTCCCTTATAAATAAAAGCCGAATGGTGGTGGCACTTCTCTAGAACATTCCACACACTCCAAAATCACTTCGCTCTCTGATCTGTCATTCAGAGGGTCTCCCTATCCACTGGCTGCTTTGCCTGAGTCCTGCCTCCAACATTCTAAACATCTTGCTAAACCTCTCCCCCCCATAGCCAGTCAGAACACAGAGGTTATTTGCATATGCAGCCTCATTGGCCTTTGGAACACAGAGGTCATTTGCATATGCGACTTGATTGGCTTTTGCCTCTAACATTCTAAACGGTTTTGCTGTTCTGAGGTAAAATGTGTCCAATCTCCAGGTGAGGGCTGGAGATCACTCAGAATTACAACTGCTTTCCAGACGTCAAAGATCAGTTCCCCTGGAGAAAATGGTGGGCTCTGTATCCTTATACGCTGCTGAGGTGGCCCCCATTACAGCCAATGTGACGTAGAAGTCAGGGCTTCAGAGCATGGGAGAGGCTGCAGGTGTGTGGGGGGTGGAAAGCTGAAGAGTGAGGGGGAAATAAAGGTAGGTTGATGATTGGCTGGGAAGGAGATAGGGTTGCCAACTCCAGGTGGGAAATTCCCGGAGATGTGAGGGATGGAGCCTGGAGAGGGTGAGGTTTCAGGAGGCGTGGGACCTTGGACAGGTACAAAGCCATAGACTCCACCCTCCAAACCAAATATTCCCTTCTGGGGAACCACCGTTGCCAATCTCCAGGTGAGGACTGGAGATCACTCAAAATTACAACTGTTCTTTAGGTAGCAGAGATCAGTTCCTCTGGAGAAAATGGTGGACTCAGTGTCATTATACCTTGCTGAGGTCGCCACAGCAAATTGACACTGAGTGTCCAAGGCCAGGGCACCCGCCCAGAGCCTCTTTCTAGAGGTCGTTGTATTTATTTCCACAACGGGCCTTTTTCCTAGTCTGAAATAAAGCTTGTTTTTAAAACAGAAGAAGCCTGGAAGACATCAAAGAAAGGACCTTCGAACCTTGTCCTGTCTGCCCTTCCGAAACTCCTTTCCCCCAGTCTGAAACTGAGCCTGTCTTCAGGATATTGCTCCAGTTAGTTTCCAAAATGATACACAAACATTCCTTGTTTCAAGCTCACAAGAGAGAGGAGCATTTTTATCTTCTTTATGGGAAATAATCCCTTCTTAAGTAGCAGTCTGCAACTTGCCAAGACTTAAAAAGTATACACGCAATGCAAAAAATACTTTGAACAGGATAGTTCCCTTCATGAAAGTTGAACATAGAGGCTCACCAAGGCTACAGAACAACCGTTTCCAAGCTGGCATTTGGTTGCCAGAACACTTTCCAAGCTGGCATTTGGTAGCCAGTTTAGCACATTTTCACATATTTTAATGCTTCTTTCCCCCGGGATAGAGCAATGACACCCCCCCCCCAGTCCAGCATAGCAAAGATTACTTCCAGTAGAGATGCAAAGAACAGACCCTAGTTAGGTGTAAAAAAAGTTGTCAGCTGTGTCATTTGGAAAAAAAAATCCAAACCCCCAAAATTCACGTAATACCAAGCAACCAAATGACACAGAACAGTATGCAAACTTTTGAGTTCACCAGAACTTTTCTTGAGCTGGATGTTATTTTTAAAAAGTGGGGGAAGGAAAGTGCTACAGGAAACAGTGTTAAGTCCTAGGAGAGTCTTTGTTAGATGTTAAACGCAGAGCTGTTTCAAATATTGTTGGTATCCAGTTACATCTAGCCTCTTCAAGTGAGAATTACAATCCTCACAAAATACAAATTACAATTTTTGTAACATCCAGCCTGAAGAATTCCACAGAACTCAAAACTTGCACACCGTTATGTGACATTTGGTTGGTCTCAATAAAAGGCATTATGTGGACTATGTTCTGGGGTTTCGGACAGTTTTTTTAAGAAGCCTATATCGTATCCATAGTTTGCACATACCATTCTGGAAGCTTGTCTGGCTATCCTGTAAGCTGTCCAACCATTGGAGACATTTTCAAGTTGTTGTTTGATAACAGTTTTAACTTCAGAAGATAAAGTCTTTTGACTGGCAACAAATATCACAGTGGCAAGAGACACCTAAACAGAGAAACAATGAACATGGCAAGGCTGAAACCCAGCAAAAACTACTAGTGGAAGTAAATTTTACTAGTGTCATCCAAAAGTTATTAGCATTCGAGCACCCCAATGCAGCAAGCAAGACACCCCCCATTTAACATAGCCTGACGAGGCATACTGAAAAACTTGAATGTTTGCACATTTTGTGTTATTTTGGTTGGTCCTAATAAAAAGGTATTACATTTATTTATTTATTTATTGACAAATTTATACCCCGCCCTCCCCGCAAAGCAGGCTCAGGGCGGCTTCCAATAACATGATAAAAACATACTTAATACAAATTAAAACATAACAGTTAAAAATAACACATTACAAAGTGCTGGCGGCGGTTAAAATTCAATCAGAAGGAATGCTTTCAGATGGATTTCCAGCTTCCAGCATAAAAGTGCTTAGATGTTATTCTGCTCGTCAACTCTTATGACAGCTGCTCGATGATGACTTTGCGGGCCGCGCACTGCGGCGGCCCCTAATTATATGCCTGGCGGAAGAGTTCCATCTTGCAGGCCCTGTGGAACTGTGAGAGGTCCCGCAGGGCCCTGATCTCCTCCGGGAGCTTGTTCCACCAGGTAGGGGCCACCACCAAAAAGGCCCCGGCCCTTGTAGCAGCTAGCCTGGCCTCCCTCGGGCCAGGGAGGGTCAACCGATTTTGAGACCCAGACCATAGTGCTCTCTGGGGTATATACGGGGAAAGGAGGTCCCATAGGTATGTACCGCCATTCCGCCTCAATCCAGATGTCTTTGGAGGTCGTCAGTCAGAGCGACCAGCACCGTTTCCGTCCCATGACCCGGACGGAAGCCGGACTGGAAGGGATCTAACACGGAAGCGTCATCCAAAAAACCCTGCAGCTGTATCGCCACCGCCCTCTCAATCAAATTACCCAAATAGGGCAAATTGGAGACCGGCCGATAGTTGGCCAATTCAGCCAGGTCTAAAGATGGTTTTTTCAAGAGAGGGCAGACCATCACTTCCTTGAGTGCCCCAGGGAACTGTCCCTCTAAGAGGGACTTGTTGATAATCTCCCTTAGGTCACCTCGAAACCCCTCATGGCCAGATTTAATAAGCCAGGAGGGGCACGAATCAAGACTGCAAGAGGTTGGGCACACAGCTGCGAGTAGACTGTCAACTTCCTCTAGGCTGAGAGGGCTGAAGCGATCCAGGATCGAAACCGAAGACATGCAATGGGCCTCAAGCCCACACTGTTTCAAGTGTGGCAGGGAGGTCGTGGTGGAACGCCAAGACTTTATCTGCAAAATAGCTCCCAAATGCCTCACAGCCAATGTCCAATTCCCTAGCATTTGGTCTGCCCTGTGGCAGAGCTGTTATCGACCGAGTCATCCTAAATAATTGGCCTGGGCGAGATCTAGAGGACATAATTGCCGCCGCATAGAAATCCTTCTTTGCGGCTTTGACTGCCATCTCATAGGCTTTCATAAATGTCCTATAAGATGTTCTTGTTGCTTTGTCTCGAGTTTTACGCCACCGTCTCTCTAGCCGTCTGAGCTCCCGCTTCATCAGCCGTAGCTCCTGGGTATACCAAGGAGCCAGCTTAGTGCGGGGGCGCAGAGGGTGCCGTGGAGCGATCTCATCGATGGCTGCAGATAGCCTACTATTCCAGTCCTCCACAAGCTCATCTACCAATCTGCCAGGGAGCATCGGATCCCACAGAGCCATCTGGAGTCGCACCGGGTCCATTTGGCTCTGCCGGCGAGTCAAAGTATGCTCATCGCCTACACAGGCTCGGGGTGGTACATTCAGGCGGGCCCCCAGGGCATGGTGGTCTGAACATGGGACTGCCGAAGCAGTAATCTGGTCCACTGTTACCCCCACCACGAAGATCAAATCGAGCGTGTGCCCAGCCTGGTGAGTGGGGGTCGTTACATATTGGGAGAGTCCCAGCGCCTCCATGGATGACAACAGATCCGCTGCCTGAGTAGAGGTCACGTCATCAGCATGGGCATTGAAATCACCCAAGACAATCAGTCTAGGGTGTTCCAATGCCCAGCCTGCTACGGCCTCCATCAGGGATGGCAGGCTATTGGCCAGTGCGTTAGGTGGCCGGTACACCAGCCAAATCGCCAAACTCTCCCCGACCTCCCAAACCAGGCCAGCACACTTGATGCCCGTGATCCTCAGAGGCAGAAGCGCCCTAAAGGAGTAAGCCTCCCGGATGAATAGTGCCACTCCTCCCCCCTGGCCCCTAGTCCAAGATTGGCAAAGGACCGCAAACCCAGGTGGTGCAAGTTGGGAGAGAGCCACTGTCTCCCCCTCCCTCACCCAGGTCTCGGTCACGCACACCAGGTCCACATTCTGCTGTTGTAGTAAATCCCTAAGGACCGTGGTCTTATTATTTATGGACCTGGCGTTGCACAACACAACAAAATAGCTTTTGTTCTAGAGAGATATGAACAGGATTTCAGACTTGGGCTAGTAAACATAGCACTGGAATGGCTTTACTGCATTATAATTCTGAGGCTTATAGTGGATATGAAAAAGCAGAAATGTATTCAAGTGAACCGTTACAATAAATCATGGGAATACTCTGACTATCAAAATATTGTTAACTCAAGCAATAAGGAATTTCAACCTCAGAATCCATGGTTGTTAAAAAGCCTTTTGCGAGTTCATGCATTAATATCAAATCCAGGGAAGGCCTACGTGGAAGTGGGCTGAAGTTCCTCTTTGTTTACCAAGAAGGAACATGGATGCCACAGGAGATCAGGACAGAGAGAAACATGGACAAAGACCTGTAATTTATTAATCTAAAATCCACACCATGAGCCAAGAGACGGAAGAGAAAGTGATCCTGTAAAAATCTCAGGGCTGCGCTGTGTTTGGCAAGGCAACAAGGTAACTACAGCATCCATGTCAAACAAGCGCCACCTAAAGGAAGGAAAGGGGCTTAAGAACAACAGTCTTGATATGTTTTAGGTTTGGGGTTCAAGACCTGAAGTTCCTTTGTCCGCTAAATAAGAAAAATAGGCTTTGTCACGTCACTCTCCTCTATAAAGTTCAATGGTTTTCTTTCATATTCTGAATTAAAAATATCTCACCTTTTAATAATTCACTCCTTTTCATATTTCACCACTTCTTCAGCTGTATGCCACCCATTCATTTCCTGTTTCCTTAAGCCACACCATACTTTGGTCATCTCTCTCCTATCCCTTTCTTTTTAGCAATACGACCATTTTTGAAACAGTCTTCCTACTTAATAAAATTTATTCTGTGGCAAAGGATTTTTCAAACCTTATCTTTTTTTCTCAGGCTTTCCTAGATTGATTTTCCTGCACCAAAAAGCCCCTCTTCTTTTGCTGAGCTTTTCAAATCTCTGTTCCTTCCATTTGCTTTTTTGTTGCATGTGCCTTACCTTTTAGACTGGAAGCTTTCAAGAAAAGACCTTTCTAGTTTTTTAATTTACGAAGTACCTAGTGTGTAGTAATAATAATAGCGCTCTTCCCATCATCATCACTCCATTAAATAAAAAAATAAAATAGTATAACAAAAAAGCCAGCAATGCTAAGTAAGAGCTGCAGCTCACCAACTTCCCATTCCGTCCACTGATTGTGAGAAGTCAGATAACAGACAGGACACTCACAATCAAGGCATCAATGGCAGTCTTAGTCCTCCATATTTAAGCCTTCATAGCTGACTGTTGGGGAATACTGCCTGCTCCTGAAAAACAGGAGATGGTGCTCTTGATCCAGGGCCATACAGTTTCAAAATTGTGGCAACAGTATTCCTGGAGACATCCCAGAATGTACTTGACATTTAGCACCAACAATCAGAACCAGGAACGATGACATTTTTAGTTATGTAAAGCAGCTATCCAAATACGGTGTGTGTTTCTCTGTAAATGCTTTGACAAGAAGAACTTTCAAACAGAAATGTTAGCCATGAATCAGTCAAACATGGCAAAGATGTACAGTTGTTTTCTCAGAGTACCCACTATGAAGGAAAGAGATGGTATAAAGATACCACACTTTTTGCTATGTTTCCCGATACAGCAAAAATGGCTGTTCTATACGCACGGTCGTTTTAACTCAGTACATTATTCAATCCAATCCCACACAGGCCCACAGCATATCAAGAACAATGTTTCCAAGCCACATCTACTTACAAGCAGCTCTTGTTGCTTATCGGAGGCAGATCGGCCAATCACTTTATAAAGGTCCATCAAATCTCCCAGCATTCCATCTCCTAGGACAGGTAATTGCATGGCAATGGCTGCCAGGCAATGGCACATGAGAATCCTGGCAGCATCTTGAGCGCTGTGCAGCTGTGTCAACAAGGATTCCACAATAGACTGGCTCAGATGGGGACGACACTTGGCCAGCTTCACCATGCAAGTGAGAGCAATCTGCATTAAAACAAACAGTACTGTTTTAGCATCTGCTACTTTTCAAAAGACCTGCATTTTTTCCTTCCATCACAAGGAGCCACAAAATGAAGGCTAAAGAAATGTTGCACAAGAACATAAAACACAGTCATACTCTACCAAAGCATATGTAAGGAGGATTCAGGGAACCAATTATTTTTACTGTAATATATGACTGAGACACAGAAAGTTCTCAAAGAAACTGCTTGCCAGGCCTCTGGAGAACATTTAGAACCAAGTCACATTTAACTGAGTCTGATAGTCTAATGCGTCTGATAGTCTAATATTGAAATCCTACACAGTTAACCTAGTTGATTTAAACTGGACTAACTCGGTACAGAGTTACTTTACTAGTCCCATCTAAACTCCACTCCTCCACTTGCTGCTTTTTAAAAAACCAGACAATTTATGGGCAGCTAAGGCAAAAAAAGGTTATTTTTATCAATGTACTGAACACTTAAGGCAGATGAACAACATGTTAGTGTACCTTAAAAATACTAAAGGCCGCTTAGGCTAATAGGCACTACCTTTTCTGCTTGTTGGCCCTCATACCTTACAGTAATCTGCATCTTTGCTGTTCAGACTAAGCAAACAGGCTTAATAAGAAAATTCTTTTGAAGGCAGGGCTTAAATATCATCACTGTTCTGGCAGTTCTTTACTTTAGCAAGAACTCAAATGCAACACACAGGCCGAAATTCTTCCCTGACACTCCCTCAAATCTCACGTTCAGACTTGTTGAGGTTTTGAGTTCTGACATTGGTCAGACTACATTTCATATTGGTCGGGTGTTTAGGCTGTTATTTTTAAAAAAATACTTAATGCAAAAAATAACAGCAGACATTTCATCAGACCAGAAACAAAGTGGCACAGAGGAAAACAAAAAAGATATTTACCTTTAAAGTCGCTTGAGCACCTGGACTGCCATCTTGACTACAAAGAACAAGGAGGGATTCAAGGCCAAAGACTGCATCTTGCTCCAATGGCAAAAGATCTAGAAAAAAAGTTCGACATTTCATCCCTAATTTGCTGGCACTAGCATTAATATGATACTCATGACTGTTAAGGAAGACATAATTTATCATCACAGTTTGCCTTGTTCCAGTAACACAGCAGAACTAAGAGCCTCTCAAAATTAAACAAGTTCAAATGATGTGGCAGGCCAGAAGCAGTGGTCTGATGGCAACTGTAAAAGGGACACATTTCCCTATATTGTGAGGGCATAAGGATTGGGGCAGGGGGGGAGTTGGGCTAGCAGCTGCAAACAAGGATTCCTCCATGGTTTGGCTGACCATTGAGAGCCTAAGCTTGAGCAGTACTTCCGTCTGCCATTTCCTGTCCAAAACTGATTGCGACAGGCCCTTTCTTGAAACTAAGGGGACCCACACTGCTTTTCTTAAACATTTTATGTCTTTATATTTTACCACCGTGGACACCAGCTTATGACATTTTTGGTCTATACCCCAACGCTATGGCACCAATTTGTGACAGTCCCCTTGTGACAGGGTCCCACACTGCCTCTCTGATGAATTTGGGGAATCTTGTTTGTTGAGAGATATAAACCTTCCTCAAAGTTACAAGATGTTCTTAGGTAGCAAGTATAAAGGCTTTGGGTTGCTGCTGTGAGGTACGTTTTGTACTGGGCCTAAAGAGTATAGAGGTCACTGAAGCAGGAGATTTAATAAAACAACTAAGATTTATTTATGTACAGATTATGTGGTGAATTCTCTGTTTGTAGCTACCAGGTCTGCTCATCCCCAGAGACTGGCCTCACAACTCTGTCCTCTCCCAAAGGTAGAGTTAAACCACTCTGCCTCTCTACCAGGCAGAACTACACACAAAATTGTCTGCTCCCTCACTGAGACAATTCCCCTCTCCCTCTGCACTGTCCCTCAACCCCGCTCTGGAAGGAGACTAGATACTGGAGCAATAATCCTATAGGCTCAAGTATCAAAACAGCTGAGTGGCTGTTTTACCTCTCAGGGGCAGGACAGCCTCCTGTTCATCATACAGTTTGTTTTCTGGGCTTATATACCTTCCTTCTTCAAATATTTAAAAACTTAGAGCATTTTTTTAAAGTGACATCTGATAACCTACAGTTCAGAGAACAAAGCTCTAAGGATGAGCAAATAGATCAGTTCCTATGCAAAAGAATAAGTGGACATAAATCTGATATCAAAAAATGCAATAATCAGAAGCAAGTGGGTGACCATTTTAATCTTCCAGGGCATTGTGTTACTCGTCTAAAATTTACTGTTCTCCTACAAAAGAACTTCAAAGGGAAAATCCAATGCAAAAATGCTGAATTGGAAATCACTAATAAATACAAAATTATTTGTTCCCCAATATTAACTTGGATTTTTGGTTTCTTACTGACTTTAGGTGGTAATCCTATTTTGCCTATCAGTACCACGATGTTCCCTCTAAACGCCACAGTGTTGTGATCAGAAATTCTATCTTGTGAGCGAAAAAAGCTAGTAGCAATAAAGTTGTGAGCAAGTCTATATTTGACTATTGTTTAAATTAGTTTTTAAAGAAGAATACTTCTATAACCTTGTAAAAATCTCAGAATAAATTCTTTTAAATTATATTTAAACTATATTTTAAGAATAATTTAAACATTATAAGAAAAACCAGAATCAAGTCAAATTTCACCCACCTCTTTACACTATATTGGTACACCTGTCCTCCGTAAAACAGGTCTACCCACCCCAGTCCACTATATTGGTAGACTTGGCCTCCAGAGAACAGATCTGCCCACCCCTTTCCACTATATTGGTAGATCTGGCTTCCAGAGAACAGGTCTACCTGCCCCAGTCCATTATATTGGTAGACCTGGTCTTGGATGGTCGCCTTGTGCTGAGCCCCAGAAAACATAGAAGCACATGCGAGGGGGGGGGGGACGACTCTTGCAGTCTTCTTTGTTTTTTTTAGTGAAATATGACAACCGGCATTACAGGTCAAGTATAACAGAGGAGCAACAATCGTTGTCAGAACCCTGCCTAACCTAACAAACGGGAAGTTGTTTAGAGATTATCATCCTGCCCAAACTACTATTTATTCAAATATTTATATCCCAAGGCAGCTTACAAATCATACTGAAAAGCACCATAGGGTTGTGCAAAAAGAAAAAGTAATTCCCCCCCCAGCTCCATTGTGGCCTATGGGGACCATTATAGTCAATAGGCCCCATAAGCTATAATGGAGAACTGATCCGGGGGCATCTGGGGCTCGGGGGAGGGAGCTGTGTTTTTAGGTAGAGGCATCAATTTGCAGCATAGCTGCTGGTGCCTCTCCTCAAAAATCCCCCCAAATTTCAAAAAGATTGGACCGGGGATCCAATTCTATGGGCCCCAGAAGGAGGTGCCCTCATCCTCCATTGTTTCTAATGGAGGGGGGAAAGCTTTCTGTGCAGAAGCAGAAACTTCTGAGCTGGCATCTAAAATTTTGTGCACTAGCACCCCCTAGCACAGCTTAGAGGTAACTTATGCCTATGAGTGATCCATACAAATTCTGAGTGAACTGATTATTCTTTTGATTGGATCTTGCTCTGTGTATAATTTCCTCCCTTACCTTTCTGTTAATATAAATACATCAGCCCAACGGTTGCATACTTCATGCAACAGATAAAGTGAGAACTGATCCATGAAAGCTTATGCTGGAATAAATTCTGTTAGCTTCTAAGGTGCCACTGGACTCCTGTTTTATTTTGCTGCTACATGGCTACCCTTCTGGATGAACATGACTACCCTTCGGGAACCAGCAACAGAAAGCAGCTAAAATATCAAGCCTACCCAGAGCTCTCCAATTTAGCAAGAATGGGATAGTTTCACAGAGAATGTTAAACTAATAATAATAGTTGCACTGGGACTCCAGCCACACTTACCTGTTTCCTGGCAGGAAGCAGCTATATTTGTCAGAACTCGCACTCCGTGAGCTGCAATACCCTGGTTATTGTGGTAACAGGACTCTTGAGCTAGTTTCACTAGGTCTGATGACCTTGCTGTAGCAGCTGTACCTCCTTAACAAGGAGAAGGAAACTTTTAAGCAGTGAGCATGGCCAGCTGTACACAATAGGACAGTTGACGAGTGAGGTAAGACTAAGAAGTTAGGGCAATATCTTTAATCAGAGCAAGATGCGATGACAGGGAATCTGTGCGATTCCCAACACGCAAAAGGTCTTCCATCAACTGAGAACAGAGCACTCATAAGGCTCACAAATAACAGTTAGCATAGAGAAGATGCCACTTTCATGTATCAGCCGCCTTTGATATAACGCGTGGACCGTATCATGTATCAGCCGCCTTTGATATAACGCTTTATACTTCACTACAGAGTGCCAACGTTTTGGAAAATTAATTTTAATCTGCACCAATTCATAAATGTTTTAACTCATGAAACTATCAACACATGTGACCAACAGTGACAAGCCCCATCAAATTGGCTTTCCTCCCACCAACTAGTTATTCATTTTGATTTTGCTTGGGCTCAAAATATTTTAAGCAACTTCTCCAGACAACAGTGAAGGGATATGTGAAAGCAGCAAAACCATGTTTCCACTGAACACATACATGTAGCCTCCTCTAAGTGATCGAATCACTGCTTAATGCCATGCCCTTCCTCTTATATGTATTTATTTCTGCTTAATTCACAGTGTGCTGCAGTGGCAGGCTTGATATGGGAAATCCAGGTTGACATGCCCATTCAGCTCTGAACCACACTGGCCCTTTTCATATTACCATTCTAAACTAGATGTTATTTGTGGCTGATCTGATTTCGAGTACATCAATACAAGGACATTCCATTTAATGAGCCACCTCTGAAGCACTATGGTAATTTCAAACAGTGCCGCTTTCCCCCCTGTCCTTTTTCGCCGTGTGACCTTCCTCGGACTTTAAAAAAATGTTCTCAGGTGAGCGCTATAGCACTAAACTGTTATAGGACTTCAGTGCTATAGCGGCACCATTGAGATGCTATAGCACTCACCTTAGAACATTAAAAAAAGGGTCTGAAGAAGATCACGCAGTGAAAAAGCGGCATTGTAGGAAGCACTATGGACATTTTAAACAGCACACCACAGCGATTTACAAGCACAACAAAGGGTATGAAAACGGAAAAAAGCAGTTTCCCTCAAAAACAGCTCAACCAAGCTTTGCTAACCCGACACAAGTAGGTTTTGTATGAACAAATAAATTCTGCTAGCAGCCGGTTACTAAAACAAGTCTGTCTGAAATCATAGGAAAAAAATCTATTAGCGACCAGTTACTAAAATGGAATACAAAGGTAGTTTGAAAAGGGACACAGAATGGCCTTGAGCAACTCAGTATTTCTCAGTCTAATAGGTCTAAAAAATTGTGCAATTAAAATGCTGCTCTGAATTCCTTGCAGGGAGAATGGGATACTAACATAACAAATACATAATTCAGTATGATCATGATTCAAATCCAACAAAATTGAAGGGCCTTAACATGAACCGGAATGCACAAACACTTTGATTAAACTAAATCAGCCTCAGGCGGATTCTGAACAGCACAGGATATAAATCTTTTAAACCAACATGGAGGCAGGTTGTCAACTTTCAGGGGAAAAAATGTCATCTCTTTCACACTGGTTGAATGGGATGTTATTTATCTGTATGCCATAAAAAGTTTTGACTGCCTGTTTCCACACATTAAGCCTCTATTAAAGGGACAGAACATTTTCCACCAGGCTTACCAGCAATCCTAGAGGCAGACCTGTGTAGGCTACATATGGCTCATACTCTACTGTCCTTGGAGATATGTGACTGTGGTGCTAAAGATGCTTTAACCCTGTATGCTGATAGTGTTTGCAGTTAATAGGCACCAATGAGTTAGCTACATGCATTGCTGTGTGTGTGCTTTATAAGGCAGAGGAAACGGTGTGGGAGTACTCAAAAGAGATGGCAGTAGCACAGGGCGAGGAACTGATCTGCACCATTACATGCTCAGCGATCCCCCCCCGCCGCCACTGGTAATCTTCTAGCAAGTCACTAGACTATTATTATTTATTTCCTTTGCAGTGCAGAATTTCAGTTATGCAGAAAATTAAACCCATTCCCACAGTTTGGGAAGTGTTTCCACACCGTTCACTGTTCAACATTAAGAATGTTCACAGGACTGAGGAACCACCACATACTAATTTCTGTGAAAAGAAAAGGAAAAGAAGAAACGGATGAGCTAATCTTTTCATACCTGGAGCAATGCTGAAATACTGTTTGATCGCTATCGTCCCCAACAGTGTGGAAAGTACAGACAGCATGCCTAGTTTCAAGCTGTCATAGGGAGTTTGAAGAGCACATTCACAAAGTGCCTAAGAAGCCAGAAGAAAGAACCTTTTTAGTCTGAGGGGAAAAAATTCTGCTTAAAAAAAAAACCCTCTAAATGTGTGGACTGACAATTCAGGCATGTACATATACAACTCAGTATTGCCCCACTTGATGATTCCCAGAGAAGCACAGGAAAAAACTAGCTGAAATTCATTTTAATAAAGTTGATTTAACATATTTTTAAATAGAGGAGACGAGGGCTGAACCAAAGACAGAGCAAAGGAAAAAAATGTGCTGAAGGGAAAAGGTCTGACTATTTCAGCTATATTGCCCCTATGTTTAGACAAAACGTATAGGGGCAAGATAACTAAAATAAACAATTATTTTTTCCTGATGCACCATTAAAATATGTTTACCCTGCTTCCCACATCACATAGCCCCCCCTCCCCGTACCTTACAACACCAACATCCAAAACAATCATCTAAAATATATACGAGAAATAACAGACAACAACAAAGCTTTCATACTTCTTCCTCATCAAATACTTGGGCAAATTAAACTGTCTTAACCTATTGCCCAAATGAGAGAGACGATGACAAACAGGCAATTCTGGGGAAGTTATTCTATAAATAAAATGACCATCTAACCTCACTTGGGCACATACAGAAAGGCCTCTGCCCAGAGTCTCAAGGGATAGATAGGCTCATATGAAAATGGTGTCTATTTAAATATCATGGCTTCAAACAGATCTAAACAGAATTGTGCCCAGAAACAAAATGAAAGTCAGTGAGATATATATATACGCACATATCTCTCCTTATATATAACTGAATAGTGGGAGTCAAAGTTCTAATTCTAAAATGCACTCCCTTAGTGTATGGCTGATGGCACTGCTCCTCAGCATATATCGCCACCAATCAGAAGGCAAAGCCCGGGTCCCGCCCACACCACAACTGCTGCGACAACCTGGTCTTTTGCATATGGAAGCTGATTGGACTTCAGTCCATTCCACACCTCAAACTCGCCCCCCCCCGCAAGGCAGTTGGAATTTTCAGTTGCATAACATACCTCATAGGGGAGAGGAGAATGGGTAACAATGGTTACCATTCTCCAGGTGAGGGCTACAGATAACTCAAACATACAAATGCTCTTCAGGTAGCAGAGATCAGTCCCTCTGGAGAAAACAGTGGACTCTGTCATTAAACCCTGCTGAGATCGCCACAGGACACTGACACTGTTTGCCCAAAGCCAGAGCACTCTCCCAGAGCCTCTTTCTAGATCTCGTTGTATTTATTTCCACAACGGGCATTATTTCTAGTATATACATATATACACACACATATAGATACACCTAATCTACTTCTTCCATTTAGTCTTCAAGTATACAAAAACACCACCACAAATAGACTTTAGTATCACTTTTAAATAATCTTAATTTATTGATGGACGTTACTTGTATAGCCATGAATGTATTAGAAAACAACCAGCTTTTTAAAATGATGGAATTTTGTAGATCATATCTATCAAGATTACTTTTCCTGTTAATTAGTGTATCTTTTTTCACTGGCTGCTGCACAGGGTTCTTCAGCGCAATGGTATTTATTTCATGGTGACATGCCAGAAATAAAAGCAGTATTATGCAAGGAGTCTGGAACTTTCATATGCTAATAAACAGGGTGTCTTTCATGCAAAACCAGAACTTATTAATGGGAAAAGAAAAGGCAAATTTTTGACTGAGTGATTGCAACATTCAAAAATAGTAACTACTGGATAGTTTCTCTATTCACAACAGGTAATAAAGCATGGCATTAATCACAACAGTAAGAAAACATCTCATGGGGAAAATAAAGGTTTGGACTCATCTCTCACTTTTCTGCCACTTCCTCTGGTTTCATATCAGGAAACCGCATTATCGACATTTTGCCAGAGTTATACAAATCCTTAATAAATCATCAGTATAAGAACCAAACGGCATGTTCACAGAAACAAAACAAAGCACCAAAACTAATGGCATTTACAAATGGGGTAGGAGTGTTTCAAAACAAGGACTGTAGGGCTTTCTTACGATTATTAGAAAGTATCTTTCAGCTTTGTTTCAGTCTTGCTCAGAAACTATCATCTCTGCTGCTCTATTTATTAAACTGTTACACAAATGTTACCCTTTCTTGAGCCAAAGGTGATTCACAGGTGAGCTCCAATAACATCATTGTGTCAAAGCAGAAAAGGCTTAACAGGATGGCTTATAAAAGGCCATGTACCAAAAAGCAACTAACACAGATAAATCTTGGCTATGGAAAAAATCTTCTAGAGAATACAGTTTCCCCAGATCTCCCTGTAGATAAATGATAGAATAGGTATTTGCAACAGAACTGGCAATTCTAGCAACTCATTTCTAACAAGAAGGTGCTGGTGTTGTGGTCTGATCCAAAACCTTGCCCCACATATGGAGACAGTTTGAGGAAATCAGCACTCTGAACCCTAGTTCAAAGACTGTCCATGGCAGCCCACTCAAATAAAGCACCCTGTGCCCCACTAGTACAGCCCTACTTGCCATCTCATTATAGTAATCTTAAAAATTCACCAACTTCTTTACTTGAACAGAACACAGCTTCACTTAAATGAGAACTGGGAGCCAACGACAGAGTTTCTTTCTGACTAGGTCTGCAAATATGCAAATATTCTAGACTACAGGCTCAAATACAGTATCAAAAATATCATACAAACAATTAATATGATTTGGCCTTTGGCCAGACAACAAAGAAAATAGGATTGTATGTTAAATAGTAGGGATTGGCATGAGTTGGAAGGGACCTCCAAGGTCATCTAGTCAACCCCTGTACAATGCACAAATATCTTCGCCCACGCCCCCAGTGACCCATGCCCAGAAGATTGTGCTTATCCAATCCCCTCTTGTAGCCGCCACCATTTTTTTGCAGCAGTGAATCCCATGTGTTAATTACTCTTTGGGTGAAGTATTTCCTTTTATCTGTTCTAAGCCTATGGCTCATTAATTGTGCACAATTACTAGCACTTATTGTGGTTTTAATCTGTTTTAATTGTAACTTATGTTTTAAATGTAACCATCTGTTTTTATGTAAGCCACCCTAAGCTGGCTTCGGCTGGGAGGGCGGGGTAGAAATTTGAATAAACAAACAAACAAATATTATGAGAAAAGGAGAAAAGTACTTCTTTCTCTACCTTCTCTATCCCATGCATAATTTTGTAAACCTCTACCATGTCACCCCTCAATCATCGCTTCTTCAGGATAAAGAGCCCTAACCTATTGAACATAGGTTCATAGGGAAGGTGTTCCATCCCTTTAATCATTTTAGTTGCCCTTTTCTGCACCTTTTCCAATGCTATAATATCCTTTTTGGGGTGTGGTGAGGTGACCAGTACACAGTACTCTAAATGAGATTGCGCCATCGATTTATAGGGGGGCATTATGATACTGGCTGATTTGTTTTCAATTCCCTTCCTAATAATCCCCAGCGTAGCATTTGCCTTTTTCATTGCAGTCACACACTGAGTTGACATCTTCAGTGAGTTATCTACCATGCCTCCAAGGTCTGTCTCCTGGTCACTTACCACCAATTCAACGCATATTTATAGTTAGGATTTTTGGCTCCAATGTGCATTACTTTGCACTTGCCCACACTGAACCTCATTTGCAATGTTGATATTGTACATATTAGATTCCATGTCAAAAATGAAGTCAAATGAGGAGGAAGATCTATGTTTTATTTCAATTAACAAGAAAACAGTTGGACCAAATAGTCCATCCAAAATTGACTACTTTCTTCTCAGCATATTCAAGAAATATGCTTCAATTAACAGGAAAACAACTGGACCAAATAACTAATCAAAAACTGACAACTTTCTTCTTTTTCTTCTTCCATCTTCTTCTTCTTCTTGAACATATTCTGAACATATTCAGGAAATATATGATATATTATACATGGACTGACATCATCAAGAAAACAATATTCAAAAAACATAATTGGTTATAAAAGACAATGGTAATTTGAGTAATAAGCCTCGGATTTGTCAGATGTAAAGAAACATATATCTACGTCAAACTAAGTAAAACCTGTTTACTTAACCTAACCTAAATGATAATGGGCAAGGATTCTTCATATCCCAAACAAAAGTATTTTTACTGATACGAGACTAAAATCTTATCTGACCCAGACATTGCAAGGTTTTGCCCTTAAAAACCACAGAATCATAAACTTTGTACCTATTATGTTGTCTGCTAGCAATATCAGACCTACAAGAGGAAAGCCTTCTATATAACAGGCCTTTCTAACATCCTAATAAAATATTACTTAAAAGAGAAATTCATAAAACCAGGAAAAAATATGAATATGAACAACCAAGAAGAAAAAACCTATATAAAAAATCTTTATATTCCCATTCATACTACACTGACACCCACTCATCCAGCCTTGACAGATCCCTCTGGAGCTCCTCACATTCCTCCCTGGTTCTCACCACTCTGAACAACTTAGTGTCATCTGCAAAATTAGCCACTTCACTGCTTACTCCCAACTCTAAATCATTAATGAACAAGTTAAAAAGCACCAGACTTAGTACCAAGCCCTGTGGTACTCCACTGCTCACCACCTTCCACTGTGAAAACTGCCCATTTATACCCACTCTCTGTGTCCTCTTATCCAATGACTGCTGAGTTTACTTTAGAACCTTTGCTGAGGAACATTATCACCCTGTCAAGAACTTTGGTTCATTCAAAATGGAGTTCTGTTTTAAAAGTTGGTTCAGTCTGGCTGCAGCCTGTGTTTGTTGAAATTGTTTGTCTCTGTGTCTCCAGAGTTTCATACAGTTATTCTGGGAGAGAACAGTGTGGCCTTGCACCTGCAAAGATAAGATGTTCTCCCCATTTTAGCTGTCCAATTAATATTCCATTCAATTAAGTCTCTGTGAGAGATGGGAGTGGAATAAGCTGCAGATCATATCACTGCACTCCTGACATGGACAAAGAAGAACCAATCTTGCTACTGATTGGCCTACCTCTAACTATAG